GGGTTTAACATAAAAATCTAAAAATATCAGTGTTGCGAAACTTGAGAACTAAGCATATTTTGACAATTTTTTATCAGTATATTCAGTAAGTCCATTATATACTCTATTGCAGTTATTACAAGACATTTCAGGAATTATACACTTGCATGAATAGAAATCGGTAAACGGTAAACTTTTGAATTTAACTATATCTTTTTTAGAACTTATTTGTTAGAACAAATTATTTTTTCTCATAACTAAAGATGTATGTTATTATTTATGTATTTATTTATTCAAATACTCCAAAACAGAGAGTTTTTCGTGATGCTCAAGGGCAAGAGTTGATGGTTGCAGTGGTAACACTAGAACCTTTGCATATACAGATGACCTAGTAATAACAGTTAAAGGCAAAGGGTTTGAAAGTATCGAGGAGAAACTAGAAACCGCCCTGAAACAATGTCAACTTTTTACAAAAATAATTCTTTAAAACCCAACCCAACCAAAACTAAAGTAAGTGCATTCCACCTGAATTAGAGACAGGCGAGCCACAGCATGAGTTGAAAAAGAGCAAATGGGGAGCCAAACCTATCGTGGTCAGAACTTCTGCTCAATCTCTATGTTTCTCAACTGCTGAATATGCCTGCCTAGTGTGGTGTAAATCTGACCATGCAAAAAGGTGAACATTAGCCTGAATGAAACATGCAGAATAGTGACAGGTTGTATGAAACCCACCCCTTAGAAAACCTTTACAAGGCCGTAAGTTTTACAAGCCCCGATTTACGCAGAAAAGCTCATGAACATACTGAGAAGCTAAAGCGAACCTGTGATGTTCGTCACTCAATTTTTGGCCAGGAGTGCGGCCCAAGTAGACTTAAAGCTAGACGACGTTTCCTAAGTCATGTTTTGGATGAATCTCCCTACCACTACCCACTTAGGAAGGACACACCAAATGGTGTTTCTAGCGAATTGAAAACCTGGAGAATGCTCAACAGTATCAGAATTGGGGTGGCCCCAGTGAAATCCAATCTTATCCAGAAAACCCCATTTTCTGGACAAAAATTGTGTCAAATGCAACTGCGGCGCCTTTCAGGACATGGAACATCCCCAATGTCCTGTCTGCCCCCACAAATGTACCCTCGATGACCTATGGCTGGCTAGGCGGGCAGCATTGGGCGTAGCCCATTACTGGACTAACAAACTATAATCTAAAATGTCTATACCTATGTGGCGGATTCATCTCTCTAAAAAATCCTCTATGGGTATTTCGCCACTTCAAGAAAATCAACGGTTTTTGTAGACGTATTTGTTTTAAAAAACTAGTGAAAAAGTGCTCTCGACTAGTTAAATTTAGATATTTTAAATATTTTTTTTTCTTTATTTTTTGCATTTTTTTGCTTCCGACGACGCGACGGAAAGAGATAAACTTTCCAAATCGTTAAGCATTTTTTTGTTTGTTAGGCAAATTTGTATAACTGTAAACCTAACTTCTGACAAGTAGTTTCCGTTTGGGATTAACGCTGAAGTGTTTACAAAATATAACTATTTAATTTTGTAGATTTTCTGGCAGTGGCGAAATACCCATAGAGGATTTTTTGAAGAAACTATAATCTGGATACAAAAAAGTAAAGTAAGTTTACTTTTGAAGTTTAACTTGATGTAATGTCATTTTAACTAAACATCAACGATTTTTTAGATGTATCTGTTGAAAAAAAAACTAAAGTGTTCTTGAATAGTTGTATTTAGATATTTTAAATAGTTGTTTTCTTTGTGTTTTTTGCTTCCGACGATGGGAAAAGATATACTTCCCGAGACGTTAAGCATATTTTTGTCCGTTAGGCAAATTTGTTTTATTAGTAATCTCTGACAAGTTGGTCTCCGCTTGATTAACGTAGTGGTGTTTCCAAAAAATAACTATTTTATTTTGTAGATTTTTTTACAGTGCAAGTGGCGAAGTACCCATAGGACTTTTTTGAAAACCCGGTACATTAAAAAGTATTTTGAAATAGAAAAATAGTATTAAGTATTATTAAATATCTAAACTATACATAAAAAGCCTATTCATTGCCTTCTAAATAACAAAGGGTATTTGCTCGCCAGTTGCAATAAATTAAACTAGAGTGGCTTGCAAGTTCCGTATAAATTGACCTTTCCGGCCGCGGACCATCATCCAAACTCACACAATAATCTAATATTAAAGGCAGAAATGGTTCTTCTAAAAGCGATAGATGGTTCGAGGCCACCACTCCATCGGCCCATTTGAATGGAGATCGAAATATCGGAGCGGCTCGGCTTGCCGACGACCCGCACATAAGGCGAAACTCTCGACACAAAAGAAACTTTCAGCTCATCAAAATGTAAATGGCTCAATGCGGTTTATATCCATTAACTCCAAACGGTTTCGCTAACATGCCAAAGTTAACTGTAGGGTGTGCGGCGCGAACGAGTGTGTAGATCTCCCCTCCGCAAAATTATTATCTATTCAATTTGTACGTCTAAACGTTTCGACTTCCTCCGAGAGGGTAGTTTATGCAAAGCCGATTTCCTGCTGCTTAAATGGAATTTAAGATTTTATCAGCGGGAAAATGACAGATTTAGAAATTAAAATGTAATTGTTACTTGTACTCCAGTATTCAGAGATTTATTTTGTTTAATAACAAATATTGTTAAAATAAAATGCTAGTTAACTACAATACATCTCATATTTTTAGTTTTAACCATATGCCAATGATGCATAGAGTTTAATAAGACAGCTTTTATGTGCTTCATTGATCTTACCCAGACATTCGATAGAGTCCAATTAACTGATGTCATAAACTTACTGCAAAAAAGGAGAATTCAGCCAAATACTTATAATAAGAGTTATCGAAGAGTTGAGTACCGAGAACTACACATATGTAAGAGCGGTCAATAAACTAAGCAGAAAAATAGCGGTAACTACCGGAATCAAGTAGATAGCTTAAGCCCAACCCTGTTCAACATCATAATGGACGAAATAATAAATGAAGTAAAGCAAGCTGGGTGAAGATATCCACTGGGAGATAAAGAAATAAAAATAATATGCTATGTTGACGATGCAGTACTCATATCTGAAGACGAAGATAACTTACAAAAGCTTCTATATAAATTCCAACAAACGGCAAAACTTTTTAGCATGCAAATATCCGTAAAAAAATCCCATACAATAGTAATGTGATGTCATTTAAATATCTAGGGGCAAATATAACAAGCACTAGGAATCTCATAGAGGAAGTAAAAACCCACACAACAAAGGCATCATTAATATCAGGATATTTAAGGGATATAATTTGGCGAAATAAATATATGAGCGTCAGAAGCAAAGTTACAATTTATAAGGCTTGCGTGAGATCGGTTATGACATTAGCAATAGTGACTAGAGCAGAAAACACAATAACAAAACGGCTCTTAAGAACAACAGAAATGAGAACACATAGATCAATTACAGGGTATACCTTATATGACCAGAAAAGAAGTGAGGATATAAGAGAAACATGTGAAGTACAGGATGGGCAAGAAACAGGAGAAGGGAGTGGAGAGATCATGTGGACAGGATGGTAAACGACCGGTTAGCGAAAATTGCTAAGGAGAAAACACTCAACACACCTGGACCGCCGCGCCCGGCGCCGGGACGACCACCTATAAGATGGTATGAAGGGAACCATTGAAGATAACACAGGACTTGGTCCTAACGTACGAAGAAGAAGAAGCCAATGATGCTAACATGGTTAGCAAAATGTGCATTCAGTGTGGAAGTAAAAAATGTCGCAGTGAATTAAGCCCCTCTTCCATACATTCTACATTCTACAAGGTATTGTGATACAAAATCTGGTGAACTATAGTACTAGAGGTGGGCAAAGATTGAACGAGTCGTTTATTTGGACGACTATTAAAAATGAGTCGTGTGATGCGATTCACTGCTTAGAATACGGTTTGTTCAATTGAATCTTAGACAGGACGGATCAATAAGATTTGAACGATGAGCCGTAAAAGAGAAGCGCGAGAATTGAATCGGATCACAATGCGATCGTTCAAGTCATGAGAATTGATTCATTCCTTACAATACAGTTCATTCAGTTGAATCGTGGCTTGCATAGATCCATAAGAATCGTGAGAATTGATCACAATGCAATCGTTCGTTTCTACGGCGCGGCGGTGATATAGTCATAGAGTCGGGCACCAACAGTTAGACTTGAACAAAATATAATATTTTTTTTACGTTAATATTTTTGTTAAAATAATATTCCCGACTATAAACCATTAAATGTCGGACTAAAAGACGAAATCGTGTTTTTATGCAACTCCAAATAAATATTGTTGGCCTCTGCTCAATATGATAAACAAAGGAGTTAGCGATGGTTATAAAATGAAAATCGCTGTAATTTTATATGTAAAATTATATGGGCAACGTTGTAGATGTTCATTTCCAAGCCAACTGGATGCAATTTTTTTGGATCATGCGGTATTATCGAGGGTATTATATATTATTTATTATATGATTATTATCGGAATTAAAATATGTCTCTAAAAATATTAAATTGGTATTAAGAAGTCTTTAATAAATAGTATATATGAATTGGATTGATAATTTGAAATTACAACTACAATAATACTAATTACAACAATTACACTAGTGTAATAAAGTGTTGAAAAACAAATGAAAGAGACTGTATATTTCTTTTTATGGTAACTTAAGTAGTTATCCGGCCAATACAGGGTGTCCCAGAAATAAGTGCAAGTATTTTAAGGGAGTAGATCTCGATAAACGAAATATATTGTCTCTTTATGGTTTTTCAAATAAGTCCAAAATAACGGAGTTATTTTAATTAGAAAATTTCCAAAAAAATATTTTTTGCTAAAATTTTGAGAACCACTGGATCTTTTCTGGATTTTCTTTCTTGTAAATTTAATCTACTACCTATGTTGCCATATTATCAAATGTCGCGTCGCGCGTCGTGTTAGATTTAAAATTAAAATAAAATTGATACAATCGAAATTTGACTTACCTCTTTATGAAATTCTATGGGATACTGCAGGCAATATTGGACCTGAAATTGATAAATAATAATACAGTTATTCAGAATAATTGTAAACTTTCTTTAAAAATTAGTGAAACAATTATTGTAGTGTGATATTTCCAGTCAGGGTTGTGACATTTCCACCTGGGCAGTGAAACAAGCATTCACAGTGAAACTTCAGATAACACAAAAGTTTATGACGTAATATAATTATTCTTGAATTAAAAAAGAACCACTGCAAAACGGTAAACTGGATAGGACCCAAGTTCCAGGAACCCATAAAGTGATCTTCCATATTAAACCCCCCAAATGGCATTGAGAAGTAATGATAAAAAAATAAATCTCCATACGACGACATAGTGAGGTGGGGAAGATCAAGAAGGCGTCATTGAGAAGACCATGTTGAAAGAATGAACCACGATACAATACCAAAATTGGCGCGAACACAAATACCCAACACACCTAAACCACCTGGCAGGTCACCAAAAGAAAGTACGAAAGTTGGACATTCGGTTCACAAGAGGCTTAAATAGTTGTTTTATACAGGGATACCCTATTGCAAGAAGAAGAAGATGATGATTCTTTGCTTGAGTTTTGAGAACCACTGGATCCTTTCTGGGTTTTCTTTCTTTTAAATTTAATCTACTACCTATGTATGTTGCCGTATTATCAAGGAATTATATTTTTTAACTAAAAACTAAAGAAATTAAAAAAAAAAATCAAAAAATCCCATATATTCATTTTTTTTCGCGAAAACCGTGTTTCTTGGGTCAAAATATAAACTACTCCTAAAAATATTTGTACTTATTTAAAATTCATTCTGTATTCATGTGCATATTAATTTACAGATTATAATTGTTTGTGTAAATTAAAACCATCCTCGAAGATCTTCTTCTTTCCATGCCGTCTTCTCATAGAAGGTTGGCGACCACTTTTCTAAATTCTTCTCTGTCTTTTGCAACATGGAAAAATTCTCCAACGCCAAGATTTGTCCACTCTCTAATGTTTCGGAGCCAGGATTTTTTCTTTCTGCCGATATACTCGAAGATATAGATATAAAATTTATCATTTCACGATAACTATAGCATCAGCAGAAGAACATTTATTGTGGGTAGTTAAAATTTATGGAAAATGATCGTTTTCAGTATATAAACATTTAGATATTTTAGAAAAAAAATTAATATCTGTTTTCTTAACTGGAAAGAACTGAATCATTCGTTACTAGATCAATAAATTAAAAAAATGTTTTCTTATTATATATATGTTAGAGAAATTAGTTTATGAGTAAAAAGCTACTCTAAAATATATGGTAACTAGGTGTGAATTTTAGACCTAATGGAATTTTATAAAAATAGATATTTTTATTTTGTTGTCTGTTCTAATGTGCTCAAAAGAAATTATTTATAACTGTTTTCGAATAATATTATACTGTTTGAAGTAAGTCCTACAAAATTATTTTTTTAACAAATTAAAACCCAACTAATTTAGAGATTCCATAACTAAGATATACTATAAAAGGAAAATGTAATTTTTGGAAAGTATACAGCTAATTTACTAATTAAAGGATAGAAATTAAATGATACTTTATAAAATTTAATTACTTCAGAAAAAGATTCGCAAAGATTTTCTACTCGCTGCACTGTATAAAAGACACTCATCCTTACTTTTCTAGATTAAAGAAATTAATAGAAAATAACCCACTTTGGACTAAAAGGATGAGAAGACCCTTATAAAAACCGCATTTCAGCTAAATTTTAAATAAGATAAAAAGTTAAAAACATCAGATTAAGAACTAACAAGCAATACTTAAAAATTTTGTATAATTAAGAAATCCAATTGATTTTATTTAGCTCAACTTGGTTAACTAAACTTAGATTTTAATACTATTTTCTCGCATACTTTAATAAAAAAATAGTTGATGAAAAAAGTAATTTTTAAAAAATGAACATTTTTTGTATTTAAAGTATTCTTAATTTTTAACGGTTTTGCAGATGTTCGCTGTATTATAATATCATAAACGGTAAGCATATATACATTCAGTATATGTATGCGGCACCTAGCACAATCCCATTGGTCAAATTTGCATTTTAAACCAATTAAACTCCGAGTGCCATACACGAGTATGGAATGTAAAACAGTGCCATGCGCACTTACGGAATGTACCTGGTAATTATGCTTGCAGCAGAAAATAACGCCTGGCTATAGCTAATCTTGCAAAAGTAGCTGTGGCTCCGTGACTGAGACCATCGTTTCGTGAACGAGAGAACGGGCCGGGCCAGAACTTTTTTATTTTTTTACAACTGTTTTTATTTTTTTAAAAAAGCTGTAAATATTTAATAGCAATCAAAATACGGATTGCGTTGGTTTCACTCTTTTTGGTGGGGTTAGTTTGATTATATGGTGGAGTTGATCGCGTTGGTTAGGTTAGCTATTTGGTGGGGTTGGTTTGGTTTTGATTGGAATGCCCTATAACAAAGCGTTAATAGTAACGTCTAAGGTACATTCCGTAAGTGCATATGGCACTGTCTTACATTCCATACTCGCGTATGGCACTCGGAGTTTAATTGGTTTAAAATCAAATCTGAACAATGGGATTGCTAGGTGCCGTATACATGCACGGAATGTATAAATGCAAACGGTAAAATACCAAACAAATATCATGTTAGGTGGGTTTGATAAAAAAAATAATGTTAAATGATCCATATGTAATAATATATCACGAATATCTGCTAAACCGTTAAATATTTATGAACTCCTTAGATACAAAAAATGTTCGTTTTTTAATTCTCCATCTAAAATGAAAATAATATACAGGATATTGCGTTTAAAAAAATGAGATATAGCAATTTAAATATTGCGATGTTTGCGACACTATAAAAACTACCTTGTATAAGATAATGTAAATTTTTCTTTGTGAGTTTATTCTCTTATTTTTGGTGTTTGGAAAATAGAGCTATTTATTAATATAGTTAAATTAACTCTAGTTTTTAACCATTTTTCGGACAAAGTGTTTTTATCCAAAATTTCAGCAAATAAGAAATAGAATGGCAACACTGCATAGTGCTGGAAATAAAAATAGTTTACTATATGCAGAATTTTATGCTAAATCCAAATCTGTACAGCAAAATGGGGGTGCAATTAAAACAAACTAAAACTTTATCATAACTTTTTTTGGCACACCCTGGAGATAAAAAAGTATTTTTAGTATATGCTCCTTTTATTATTGACAATGATGACGTTATTGGATTTCCTCGCACTAATGGGCCACCAATGTATAATTTTATATGCTAATAATATATTTTTACTAAACGTTCCTCAACCCAGTGTAAGTACATATCAATGTAAAATCTCTGACGAGGGGTAGGAGACTCAAAAATCTCACAATCTTTTAGGATATTTACTTCAAATAAACATTAAATTTAATTTGATTTAAAATTGGGGCGACATGTTTCGGGATTCATTTACCCATCTTCAGGCACAGTAAAACAAAAGTCACACCAGTCACATCCAGCCATACCACTCGGAAAAAAAAAACAATTGGATTGTTAAAATTCGTTAAACAATAATAATTGTACTCATTGTAATTGCAAACAAATCCAATTTCTCAAAAGAAAAAACCCTTCGTTGTTGTTCTAATCAATAAAGGCTTATACCATAATTCTTAAACACAGTCTTATATTATTTTATTTAATATTGTTCATTTTTCGACAAGGATCAACGTCTAAGTATATTGCTGTGATAATGATTGTGATGTGTTTATGATTAGAACAACGAAGGGTTTTTTCTTTTGGGAAATTGGATTGGTTTGCAATTACAATGAGTACAATTATTTAATGAATTTTGACAATCCAATTGTTTTATTTTTTCCGAGTGGTATGGCTTCCTGGTGTGACTTTTGTCTTTCTGGGCTTGAAGATGGGAATTAAGTGAATCCCGAAACATGTCGCCCCAATTTTAAATCAAATTAAATTTTGAAATAAACATCCTAAAAGATTGTGAATTTTTTGAGTCCTACCCCTCGTCAGAGGTTTTGCATTAATATATTTTTAAAATATCTTTTTAACGTATCTTCCATTTATTCTGTTCCATCACGAAATTTTGTTGGCATCAGACTCGGATTCAGATCCAAATCAAACTACCTCAAATATTTCTCACCAAAAATATATTTTTGTAGTCAATAAAACGTCTATAAAATATTTGTTCTAATATTATACTCCATTGAATTAATAATTGTTTGTAACGTTAATTATATTAAGATTCCAAAAAATACACAAATTGAAAATAAAAGAAAAATTTTCTCTCTAAGATAAATAATAATCAGCTTTTGGATTTTAACAGAAATAAATGAATCATGTCTTTATAGACTGAAGACAATAGAACAAAGAAGAGTTCAATCTCGAAACGCGTATAAATTGATTTTATTAAAATATCGTAATAATAGGATCGCGTTGCAAAGAGCCGGCAGGGAATGTCAAGACGTCGCTTTTGTTCTTACACAACTTTGAAATCCCAATTAAATTAACTTGAACAACATATCACTCAAAAGCCATAATGGATTATTAAATTAAGTTAGTGCAGGGAGCAATCTGGATTATGAAAGGCGGTAGTCTGCTTCAATACATATACACGTACACTGTTATGTGGGAATAGAAATAAAAACTACATGTTGATCGTTGACAAACGCATTACTTGATCACGATGATTAAATTCTGATGTAGCTAATTGTTCTTTTAACTATATTAACTAACTTACTCTAAACTTTTTATAGTAAGTTGTCTAAATATGGTGTTTAAATAAAGAAAATAGAAAGTGTATACAGTATGCTTATTTTTGCTTGTTCTAAAATGGTTAATCCCGTTTATACTTTTCCTAATTTCCATACCGTTTTAGAGAAAATTAAAATAACATGAAAATATCGTTGAAAGTCCTAAAACTCAAAAGGCTATAATAATATAATTTCGATTTCATTCCTTGATAGATGGTTATTATTAATTTTAAAGCCATTTTTGTGTTGTTGTTAAAGTATCACA